TCACTGTAACCCAAAGAAGAAGAAGAAGAAGAAGAAGAAGAAGAAGAAGAAGAAGAAGAAGAAGAAGAAGATGATGATGATAATGATGATGATGATGATGGTGATGATGAAAGAGGAGAAAAAGGCCTGAAGTTGTTTAAAAAAGTGGGTATAAGTTAAAAAAAAATTAAAAAGTAAATATAGTTTAAATGGGAGCGATCAAATAGGGCGTCCATGCAATTTTCTATATTAAATTCTTGCCTAGAGGAGAGCATTATTCCCGGTGACATTTAGATTGACGTGATACATACCTTATCTGGTATAACAAAATGAAACACCTTAATTTTAGGGTGTAACAAAATTCCCTAATTTAGGCACTAATAAAGGATTATGCATGGAAAGATGCGGTAGAGAATGGGGAAAGAGGACATGAGAGAAAAAAAAAATGGTGTAACTGATTCCCTAATTTAAGACACTAATAATGGATTGTATACAAATTGTAAGCAAACCTTATTTAGGGCGAGTAATATACAAAATTAGGACAATTTTAATAAATAACTTTATAATATTGTATAGGAACGAAAAAAAGACCTAATTAAATAAATTAAAAAAAGTATACTTAACTAACTGTTGAAGACATGGTTCTCTCAAGCTGGGCGAATCTAATATATTAGTTATGGGTTCAATTGAACTCATAACTTTTATTCTAAACTTGGACTTTCAGTATAAAATTCATTAAATTGTTGAAAAAATTGAGGTATGAAGCCCATAACTCAAACAAGATGATGAGCTTAGTGGTTGAAGTCGAAATCTTGAACCCATAGAATTAAAATTTTAGACCCACTTATACTTTTAAGTGCTCTATTATATTTTAATCCGTCGGCGTGAATATTATAATTCAAGTCCAATGCAAAAGAACCCCCAAAAAGAAAATTAAACGCCTTTTGCCAGCCTTTCTATTTGAGAGAGAGATGAAGATTGAGGGAGCTGATAGAAAAAGTGAAAGCTGGAAGAGGGGAAAGAGAGAAGCAGAAAAGCAAAACATTTCACGCATCTCCGTGGCCGAAGGTGGGTCGGTATTTTCTTTCATGCATGGACACAGACATGCACGTATAGAGGCGGTAAATGGGCGGGTCGAGTCGGATATGGGACGAGTCGAAAGCAGGTAATGAAAAAACAGATAAATTATCCGATCCGACCTATATCTAATTCGTATAAAAAAGGATTAACCGACAGATAATATGAGTAACAGGATAATATGGGTAGTCATATTATCCATAACTTTTTGAATATGATCACTTTTGGGAGAATTCCTAGACTCCAAACTTGAGGAACCCCCATTTTGAGGCTTTAAAAACGTAAAAGTTAAACCCATTAGTTATTCATTGGTTATCCATTTTTCTAAATGGATATGTTCTTATCCATGTTTGACCTGTTTTTAAAAAGTTCATTATCCAACCCATTTATTAACGGATAATATGGCGGTAAACTATTTCTTTTAACCATTTTGCCTCTATTATGCGCATATTATCTTTGAGTTTAAATTTTGTGCATTCACCTTGTAGAAAATACTTACTACTATAATTAGGTCACTTGCCGAGGCAAAGCCAGAAATTTTGCTAAGGGTATTCAAGATTTAATATATATATATATATATATATATATATATAAAATAATTTTTGAGTTATATACGCAATATTATTTTTTATATATAAAATATAATTTTTCGATGAAGAGTGTTCAACAGACAACCTTTCATTCTATTTGGCTACGCCTGCAGTGACTTATATGATAATACAAGTAAATAGTTTTAAATAAATACGCTCGATAAAGAAAATATAGGAAAACTATTTGAACTTCATCGATGGTGTCTGTAGCGGCGGATGCACGTGGAAGGAAGCGATGTCACGCGACACCGCTTCGTCAAAATATTGTAATACTGTTTGGGAGTAATAAGATAAAGAAAATAACACCACTTGATATTTATTGTTGCTTGGCACGTTGAGTAAATTCCTAATTTTACTTTAAGAGATCAGAGATTCGATCCTTAAACTTCTATATATATTGACACCTCTTACAAAAAATCAGGTATATCTCCCGGGGTGTCCAGTTGAAAAAAAATTAAAACTTTCATTAACAAACTTTGTTTCTGAAAAGTCTCATAAATCCTAAAATTACCCTCTGCTCTAACAACGATTATTAACTTATGAACTCACACGTATACTTCAACCTTTGAGCAGTCTTGTTGGATTCGATTTTGTTGCATTTCACTTGTACTTACAACATTAAACCAAGCTATAGTAACAACCAGAGGCAGACTTATGTGTTATAGCGAGAGGTCACCGGACCCCGTAAGTTTCGGCAGAAATCTTATATATGTGTATGTATACTTTGAAAATGGTTAATCTAAAGCGCTTGGCATCGTGAACATTAAAAGCTTTTAGGGGGCACTGGTTGAGCAGAATATTGTACTCCCGTTGCGTAAAAATTCCGGGTCCGCCTCTGAATTAACAACTCCATCTTTAGTTGATGTATTTTCTTGTTTACCGTTTCCAAAATGCTAACTGTATTCACTGCTCAAGTCTTATAAACAGACAAGAAAAGCCTAGAAATTTTCTTTATTCTCTCCTTTTTTGGTACTCATTATTTTTGGGAATATATTGGGTGCTTGGGATTAAATTAAAGGAGCTAGGGGCTTGCTTTATTGTCTTTAACAGTGTCAGCTTTAGATTTTTACCTCATTTATATTTATACAGAAGGTTTCCTATCACTTTAATCGAACTCTTATTTGCTCAAGATGTAACATTGGTCCTTGCAAAAAGTAAAGATCCTCTTCTTTGGTCCTTCCTTTTTCTCTTTTAGACCACCACTTCTTTTTGTGATGTTTTCATGTAATCATGAATCTTGAAGATTTTGGCCTCCAAATTATCCCTTTAGTATAGGCTTTAATATTACTACTAATATATTGAAGTGGACATACAAAAAGAGGAATTGAAAACGAGAAAGATAGAGAGATAGAGGTTTGACGTAGGTTTTTTTGGTTTGTGGGGAAGGGGATGGTGTCATCATATCATGATAGTATTATTCTCTTCTTCTTTTTTTGGTTCCCGTCCGGTGATCAGTATCCACGTTGGAGTCCGACTATATCCGGATTCGCATCGTATAAGACCCATTTAAGGGGGAAGCGCTCCCTAACAAGACTTTTTCTATACCTAGGACTCGGACCCGAGGTCTCTGGTTAAGAATGGAAGGATCCTATCCATCCCATCACAACCCACGTCAGTGTATTATTCTCTTCTATCTGTCTTTTAACGGAATATCATGAGAAATCCTGCTTTTCTTTCATTGTGTTTTTATGGTTGCCTGCAGTTAAATAGTTAGCATGGTTTTTAGTGGAACTTTTGCGTTTTCTTTCTTTGACTACTAGTACCTTTTTTCTTGTCTCTTCCTTTCCGAATTTTAATTCAATTAATTGACTATTTGCTCCGTGCGACCTATAGGTCATGGGTTCGAGCCTTACAATCGGCCATTGATACTTGTATTAGGGTAGATCAACGGTTTATATCACACCCTCTTAGGGTGTGACTCTTCCCCTAACCCTGCGTGAATCCGAAACATTTTGTGCATCGGACTGTCCTTTTAATTGACTATAGCCAAGCATTGCATCTCCATAGAGGATCTCACAATTAACATACGTATATGGTCATGTGGAAAATATAAATTTCTTATAATATATGTGTACTTTAACATGTTACAGTAGTTAATTTTTCTTGTTTTTCAGGTTCCTAATTCACTTTTAATGGATAATTATCTTTAGTTATCTTCTGTATTACATGATAGCGTAATTAAAAACTATTTTACATTATCAATCTATAAAAGTTAAGCCATTTAGAGAAAGAATTTAAGTTATGCACTATGTAAAAGTTCGTTTATACTATCAATAACTTTTAACATGTGATATCATGTTAATTTTTATTTTACCAAATTATCAATTTGATGTTCATCAAGAGATTCACCTTTACTTACCTAGTAAATGAACTAATTGTTTAAATATTTTTTGCACTATCAATGCATAGCACTTAAACTCTTAGAAAAATGGATTTGATTTATATGCATTGACAATATAACGTAAAAAAAATTCTTACACTATCAGTAAATTTTATCTTGTGATAAGTTATCATTTTTACCAGATCACGGATAAATACTTACGAAAATATTTCAACTGAAATTACCTAATAAAGAACCTGCTCGTGTAAATATTTTTATACTGCTAGATCATAAATTAAATTCTAGAAAAATAGTAGTATTTGAAGAGAAAGTCACCATATATAGCCTAGATTTGCAGAGAATCTCAGTATCTCACACACTCATACCCGCACGAACACACCTACACATGTGGCAACTCAATTTTGACCGACAATATCTCCAAATATAAATTCTGCTGAGACCTAACTTTCCAAATTGGTCTAATTAAAACAAACATTGTAATATCATATGAAACACACAACTTTTTCTTTGTAATATTCATGGTGTTCGGGCATCTTCAGGTATCTGTTACCTTTCACAGACACAATTATCGAATAATTCTATCCACTAAAACTTAAATAAAAGGGCAGCTTGGTGCACTATAAGTTCCCATTATGTGCAGCGTCCGAGGAAGGACCGGACCACAAGGGTCTATTGTACGCAACCTTGCCCTACATTTTTGCAAGAGGTTGTTTCCACGGCTCGAATCCATAACCTCCTGGTCACATGACAGCAACTTTACTAGTTGCGCCAAGCCTCCACTGAAACTTAAACGGACGGGAAGAAATCACCTAGTTCAAAGCTTGGATCCCTCTTATAAGATTCTGATATCATCTTGCATGAAAGAGGCAGGTGAGCATAACTCGAGAATTATATCATAAATCTAATGCTAAACATATAATTAGTGAACTTGCAGCAGCTAGGGCTGAGACTTGGGAAATAAGTTAATATTACAAATTAATTAACTATTCCAATGGATACAATATAGCGTAATAATCAGAAAGAAAACACACATAACTTCACACACATTGTAAAAGAACCTCCAAAAAATTACAACAACCTAGAGATAATTAAAAACAAAGTTAACAAACTTAAGTTCAGTACATACACATTTAATTTAGATTAATACAAAACCTACCAGGAATGATTAAATATGTATCTCCACTGCATCCTCAACATAGCAAGCGCCAGCTTTAGGAAAACCTTCACTTTCTTATAATATTAGGGTTGAACATTTTGAGTAGTTAATAATTCCATTGAGTCATTTCCACTTTAGCTTGAGAACAAAGTGAGAAACTTCAAGATTAATGAAGTTAATTAACATATGGATTAAGGTTAAGAGATTATAGAAGATGGCTGGTAGTAGAAGAGTTATTTAGACCAGAAAACCCTGTCCAAGAATTTGCACCACCCCAATATTGATTATTTTCCAAACTGCCCAAAAACTGTTTGGTAGAATTTGACTCCATTTTCACTGGTGGTGAAACTTGAGAAACCCCATTTGATGCTTCAATAGTATTTTCACCTTGAACTTGAAAAGGGTATAAATTTGTTGTATGGTCAAAGTTAGCTGCCAAAGACGGCAATAAATTATTGTTGTTGTTGTTGTTCGCTATCTGAAATCCCATTTCAGTACATCCTCCTCCATAATTATTTAGGTTATGGAAAGCAGCCATAAGGGGTGTAAATTGTGTAGATGGTTGTGAAAATTGATGGCCAATAATTTCCATGCTACAACTTGAAGGACTTGCACTTGTTGAAATAATAACATTAGAATTACCCATTTGTCCTCCTGCTGGTTTTGAAATATTATTGTTGTTGTTGTTACTGCTTTTACTTCTTTTATTCCTCCGGCAGCCGCCTCCGACCGGCACGTTTCTCATGGCACCTCCTCTGGTCCAATAACGACGACAACTCTTACAGAAGTGACGTGGTTGAGAAAGGCTGTAATTATTGAAGTAACAGAACTTAGTATTAGTTGAATCGCACCTAGGACACTTTAGTCCAGCTTCTGGCAGTGGAATTTTTGCCATACGGGCCCGATCGACCATTGAACCGGGCCTGATCGAGCCCAGCCCGCCACCCACCTGAGCGGGTGGCGGGGGAGGTGGAAGCTGAGGATTTTCAAGTCCAGGGTTTCCTTGATGATCTGGCTGTTGTAACTGGAAGAAAAAACAAGAAGAAAAAGAAGCAAGTTAGGAAACTTGTTCACAACTCAAGTAGTCCTATATATTTGGTATATTCAACAAAAAGACTAGCAGAAAAAAGGAATATGAATATGAATATTACTCTTTTTTAATCTGCTTTTTTTTTTTAAAGGATGAAGAAGATGTATCAAAGTGGAAATTGAAGATGAAAGCCATACCTGTTGCAAATTAGGATGATCTAAATAGACTGGAAAAGATGAGAAAATCATGGTTTATTTTTCTTTGATCTCTTTACTCTTTATCTTTTATAAAGGTTGATGGTTTTTTTGGAAATATATGAGTGGAGAATCACAATAAAGAGAGAAGAAGGGAATACCAGAGCCCCCCAACAAAGAGAAAGGATGAAAAAGAAGAAAGAAAATGGAGGAATTAAAGATAGAGAAGAGAAATGAAGAGAACTTTGTTTAGTTTAATTTACTTTTCCCTCATCACATTCTCTCTTTTTCTTTTTGTTTTTATTACTATCTTTTTAGGGTTTTGTATAGTAAATTTGAGTGGGCGAAGTTCCTTCGTATTTAAGCTTTCTTTGTTCATGCCCTTGGACTACTACATTCATAATAGTGCTTGAGAAAAGTAGTGTTGTGACTCCTCACTTCTTTTTTTTTTTTTTTTTTTTTTGTGTGTTGTTGTTTATCCGATGTTCGATATTTGTATTGGGCTGATTAAATTCGGATTTGTGCCGAAAAATTTTACATTGAAGGTAAAACGCTCTCTAACAAAGACGACTCCATATCCAGGCTTGATCTCTAGACCTCTGGTTAAGACGACTCCTCATTTTTTGTGGTTTCTGATATGCTGTTCGGTATCTGCATTTGGGCTCGATTAAATTCGATCGAATTTATGTCAAAAAATGTCACATTGAGGGTAAAGCACTTTTTAACAAAAATAATTTTATATCCAGGGCTCGATCCAGAAATATCAAATTAAGAATGAAGGAGTAACTTATCCATTCCACCACAATCGTTGTTTATTTGTTGTGACTAGTGGCTGAGCCACATTCAACCAAGGGCTGTCAAATGACATCCCTTCGTCGGAAAATTACACTGTATTGTAAGATAATTTTTTTATTTTATGTATATTTACTATACATTGACTCCCCTTGATTTTACGGTATATATATTTAAATTCTTATATTTTGATACCCCTTAGATAAAATCCTGGCTCCACCACCGATTGTGACTCCACACTTGCATGAATAAAAAGATAAAAAAAAATGTGCACATTATCAATTTGCTTATGGTGGGATCCTCTTACGTAATAGAAATTCTAAATGGGGTAGTGAACAAATCATAGAAGCTTTACAATTATCAAGAGAGTGATATTCTTTGGACCCCTTTTTAGCTTTGTGTTTGCCTTGTGTTGGGATAAGTAATGGCTATTACTACCTTACTACTATACTTTTTATGGTACATTGGTAAAAGCTAAGCACACTATTATTGTTTAGGTTTCTTCTTCTCATCTTCATCTTCTTCTTCTCTTTTTGCTCTTGTCTGTTTTCGATCTTTTTAAGTTTATGGCTAGCTTTAATTTACTTTAAACGTTCGATTTGTATATACGTGCATGCAATTTGGTTTCAATTAACACGTGGAGAGACGTTCCTAACACAAACATCAATTTGGAATTTTTTAATATTTAATAGAGTATTCTAGTAGCAAGTGTTTTTTTTTTCTTGAAGTGTCTCGACTATGTGAGAGGAGCTAGAGATTATTTCTTCCATGATATTGAGCTAGAATATCATTATTATATGTGGCTGCACTAATTTAATCTATGTTTTATTTGTGTTAAAAATATAATTAAGTAATTAAAAAATTGCTCTATATTTAACAACTTAACCTTTTAAATGAGATGGTACGCAATCTTTTGCGGCTGTTGTTGGTAGTATGTAACACACTTTAACATGGTATTGGAGCAGGACGAGGTATGAATTCGAGTATGACAGCCATTCATTATCAAAAAAAAAAAAAAATCTAGATGTGCGACAGATGAAAATTAAAAAGGCATGCACGTGAGAGAGCATGTCAAAAATATAATTATATTATTAAAAAATAATCTCTCTAATAGCTTTATAAGATTTTAAATGAAATAATAATACACTTCAACAATATTTATCATTAATTCTTTAGTATAACACTGTCTAGGATGATACGAGGTTAGACAAATTTCTTTTTCCTTTAGACAGTCATTCAGTATCCTAAGTTCACTGATCCGGTAATTTGAATTCATATTAGGTAAACCTAATAAGGATCAATAAAGTATTTCCTGTCGAGAAGTTCTTCATTTCCAAAATTGATCGAGCTCGAAATCTTCCTGAAATTATTAAGAGCGAAGATCTCAACCATCCCATTATAGTATAATATAAGGGTATATTTGAAGGAATATGTTGCATAAAGAACACAGCAAATCCTGCCCTATTTGACAAGACTCATAGTGATATAAGGAGACAGGAAGATCCAAAAAAGAGTCAAAATTTTCAGGCGGTTGTAGTCATTAATATTACTGTTTGTTAACAAGATGAATTTACTTAACCAAAAAAACAGTCATTCCGAAGAGTTGCACCTCTCCAGATTTCAGCCTAACATTGGCTATAAATACAAGTCCATTCTCTCAGATTTTCCATACGATTTTCTGAGTTTCTCCTTCTTCTTCTGCATTGTTTTAACTTCAAAGAAAGGAACAATAAGTGTGATTTGCTACCGAACTTTGTGTTCGCTGAAACACTGGGGTTTGAAGTACCACTACACTAGTGTGTAATTCGTTCTATCCTGGGAGGAAATAATTCATAACCTTGGGTACTAGGAGGGGATTAAATTCCTTAAGGAAACACTGTGAATTTAGTGGGCTCGGATTAGCTTCTGTTTCATTTATATTTCTGTTTATGTTATTTTATTTTCTCTAGAATTATTTTACAGTTACAGTTTACTAACAAGCTTAAGGAATTTAATTTTGTATTCTGTATTTGTGTTATATTCACTGTTCTGGAGATTAAAACCTTTGTGGTTTTTTACTCCGTTGGAGATTAAAATCTACGTGATTTTAACGTTTGTTTGTGTCATTCTTTTACAGAAATGGCTAATGATAATGGGAACCAGGCTGTTCCAATGGCGACTGCCAATGAATCAACAAGTCGAACACCGGCGGAGAAACCCGGAAAATTTTTCGGGTTAGATTTCAAGCGGTGGCAGCAGAAGATGTTCTTCTACTTGACTACTTTAAGTCTGCAGAAGTTCATCAAGGAAGATGTTCCTGTTCTGCCCGATGAAACTCCAGAGAATGAACGCTTTCTCGTGATTGAGGCGTGGAAGCATTCTGATTTCTGTGCAAGAATTATGTACTTAGCGGACTGGAGGACGATTTGTATAATGTCTATAGTGGCGTGGAGACGTCAAAAGAATTGTGGACTGCGCTTGAAAAGAAATACAAAACTGAAGATGCTGGGTTGAAGAAATTTGTTGCCGCCAAGTTTTTGGACTACAAAATGGTAGATAGCAAGTCTGTTATTACCCAAGTCCAGGAATTGCAAGTGATTATTCACGATCTCCTTGCTGAAGGTATAAATCAAATTAATACTGATGTTGAAAGTAGTAATCTTAGTATTTTTACTAACAGAATTTTCATTGAAGGTCTTGTCATCAATGAAGCATTCCAAGTAGCAGCGATGATTGAGAAGTTGCCTCCTTTGTGGAAGGACATCAAAAACTACTTGAAACACAAACGCAAGGAGATGTCCCTAGAAGATCTCATTGTTCGATTGAGAATCGAAGAGGACAACAAAGCTGCTGAAAAGAGAGGCCGTGGAAACTCAACAAAAATGGGAGCAAACATTGTTGAAGATACTTCTCAAAATAAGAGAAAGAGGAAGCAGGCTTCTGGACCGAAAAGCAACCCAAGAAGGAAGCAGTTCAACAGAAATTGCTACAACTGTAGGAAAGCTGGGCACAAATCTACAGAGTGTCGTGCTCCGAAAAAAGACAAGAAGAAGGGTCAAGCAAACATGGTTGAAAAGCATGAAGATGTTGATGACTTGTGTTGCCATGCTTTCATAATGCAACCTGGTGGGAAATCCTAAGGAGTGGTGGATTGATTTTGGAGCCACTCGCCATGTTTGTGCTGTTAGGGAAGCTTTTGCAACATATGCTCCTGTTGGACCCGAAGAGACGCTTTCTATGGGAAATGCTGCAACCGCCAAGATTGAAGGATGTGGGAAGATCTTTTTTGAAGATGACTTCTGGCAAGGTGGTGACTTTGAACAACGTCCTTCATGTTCCCGAGATTAGGAAGAATTTAGTCTCTGCTGGACTTCTTGTTAAAGATGATTTTAAGTGTGTTTTTGTTTTCGATAAGGTTGTAATAAGTAAGAACGAAATGTTTGTAGGAAACGGTTACCTCATTGAGGGCCTTTTCAAGCTGAACGTAATGGTTGTTGAGAATAATAATAAAATTTCACCTTCGTCTTACTGACTTGTGTCACGACCCAAATTCCACTAAGGGTCGTGATGGCGCCGGACACCACTGTCAGGCAAGCCAACGTAAAATACTTAATTAAATTCTCATTTTAATACTCTTGAAAACTATGACTTTCCTACAAATTTACCAATAAAAAAGACAATCGCTTCAATTCAAAATAAATGATAAGCAATTAACACAAAATACTTCATAACCATCCCAGAAAGCGGTGTCACAAGTACATGAGCAATCCTAAGAAAAATCGAATAAAGTACAACAGCTGTCCGGAATACAAATTGGACATAAAATAAATAAAACCTGAGAGAGAGACTATACTAGCTGCGGGTCGCCTCGAGGAAATACCGCTCACCTAGTCTCCGTGTCAACCATGCTGTTATGCCCACTAGGCCACTAGAGGTGCATGTGCCTGTGCAACAAAAATGCACAGAAGTGTAGTATGAGTACAAAAATAACGTGTACTCAATAAGTATCCCGCCTAATCTCGAAGAAGTAGAGACGAGATGGCAACTTCGACAATTACTAAAGGTCCGGTAATAATATTATTAAGGCGATGACTCACGAATTTATTAAGAACAACAGTAAAATTCAAATGAGTCACTAAACAGGTGAAAATTCCTTTTATTTAAAGTCTCCGGATTCATAATCCATTAATTAACAATTATCTCAAGTCGGGAGAGCAGACAACAATATCAATAAATCTCAAGACAAGCAATTCAAACATGCGCAACTCATGCCGAGGTCGTACGGCCCGATCCAACATAAATGTAAAATGTGCACTGCCGAGGGTCGAGCGGCCCGAACCATAGATGCATCTTTCACCCCGCTCGCGAATCATACATGCGACGCGGTCAAATATAAATAAACACAACAATCAGTCAATCATGAATTTATTAGGGAACAATTATCCAAGGAAAAGCCAATTCTCTTTTAACAATTCAAGAAAATGAAGTTTATTCTTTTTAGAAATTCATTTACCAATTCGATAGGATTTAAGAAA